AATGGGAGAGAGCCCCACCCTGTGAAGGGCTCTTAAAAGACAGGCCCATCAGGCCGACCCGCACTTTTGACTGTCACACGGATGGTCTCTTCCTTGAACTTTGAGATGGACTCCAGCATGAGAAACAAAGACCCTCACGGCCCCTCCATTGGAAGCCCCACTGACCAGCACCCCCTCATAAAGAACTCCTTTGAAGAAAAGGGCTCAGATGAGGAGAAAGCATTCGAAGAAGAGAGCAAGACTTTCTCTTCCCAGTTAAGAGAGAACAGCACCCAAAGGCAAGGTAAGAACTTGGGCTGTTTCTGTGGAGGCCTGAGGGAGGAGTCGTGGGATCAGGGCCCACGAGTGTTCTCAGTTGGGTTATATTTGGAGATAGGTGCTAGGAAACATCACCTAGCCCTCCAGGGGCTTCTCCAAGTGTGCCAGTGATGCCCTGGAACCAGGTGCTCCGGGCACACTTGACGCTGGCTGAACAGCTTCAGCTTCAGTTGAGAGAAATGACCGCAAATGTGGGTCAGGGATGAACTAGGAGTTTCTGTGTACGTGGAAGGAGGCCAGTCACCTAAAAAACTTCTTTTTCTCCAGGGTTAGAGCCCGAGACAGACAAAGAGGAGAATTCCAAGGAAACCAAATTCAAAGGCAGAAAGAGCTGCATTGCTCCATCGGGTAAGATTTTATTTGCGGGGGCGGGGGTGGGCAGGACATGGGTAGCTCAGTCTCCCCCCGCAGGGAACTGGGTGCTGCTCTTGGCTGCCCGGGCCTTGAGGATCCTGGACTCTAAGAAGAGCTGGGAAACCGGTTTTGGTTGCAGCCTTGGCTCCATGTGTGCCCAGGACGGATTAGTCTTTCCAGGGTTCCCGGGTTGCAGAGTCAATGAAACTCTCACTTTATTCACAGAAGCAGAACGCTGCTCCAATCGGGAGAGCTCCAGGAGGAGGAAAAGCAGATCCAGGGACAGTCCCCGCGCTACAGCAGGTAGGATGTTGCTCTTTGGGCCCAAAGTGTGCCCATAGAAAAGCTGGGAATATTCGAAGCGCGTGCACGAAGGGGGGTGTGCAGTGGCAGAAGTGGTTTGAGACTCTGGGATCCAGAGACAATTTAGGGCCCCAGGATGGGTGAGGAGCCACCTCCTGTAGAGATGTGGGGTCGGAAAAGGAACAGGACATTTGTGGGGTTCCCGCGAGGTTGCAGGGTGAGAGTCGGGAATGGGGTCCCCTGGGAATTAATCGGGTCTCTCACTCATGTGCTACCTCCGCAGGGGCCTCTTTGGGAGAAGAGCGCAGTGTGACTTTGGAAAAGAAGACTCGAAAAGTCCCTGATGCTGGCCACAGCAGCGACTGCGAGACGACTCCGGATGTCTGCCCCAGGAGAGCCCAGAGGAGGCGCACCGGGTGCAGCAAGCGGCCGAGATCCAGGTCCCCAGGAGTCCAGCCGCCTCCACTCCGGAAGTGCCTGGTGACCTCCCTGCGTGCAATGTCTGAGGCCATTTATCAGAACATGGTCCGGGTGCAGAACCAGCGGGTTCCTTCCCAGCTGAGCGGGGAGCAGCTCTCCATGCTCTCCCAGATCCGGGAGCGTCTGTGCGCCCAGGTGCAGACAGTCTACACCATGGCCACCCAGGCGGCCTATGTCTTCCCTGCTGAGACCTGGCTCATCCCAACTCCAATGCCAGGTCCCTGGGGTCCAGCTGGAGACGGGGAAGAAGCCCAGAGCTCCTCCTAAGAGGTAGACATGGGAAGATCCCCCTCTTCCTGAGACAGGAGATGGCTGAGGCCGCCCATGCCTGGAATTAGGGCTCAGCTAAGGGCACTGCACCCCATTCCGCAGATGAATATCTTTGAATACCCAACATTATTTGAGAATGGCAACAAATATCTGGGTGAAATTCTTACGTATTTGGATATTTAAAAGTATAGTAAAGTCAACAAATATGTCTGTCCTCCCCCTTGCATTTTGAAAAGGCATTCCTCCCTCTCTCACCTCAAGTGCATGGAGAACAGATGTTCACAAGCCTTTAATAGGCTTTAATTCTATGTGGAGAATGTATCTACTTGCGGGTTGATGAAGACATGGTGAGATAATCATGGCACTTGTTTCCCCTTTAGTTAACTTCCTATTAAATAGTTACTGATCGTATGTATTTATCCTTTAGCAGCCTCATATGATGTGCTTAATTGTAGATTTTCTTCTATTTCATAGAATGTGTCTTATTTTATTAGAGGACATTAAATCTAACATAGTATGTTGTCATTTGTTTCATATTGTATCTTATTTTATAGAGATTTTATTTGCATTTTATGTAAGAAAAATAAGTGTTGGGATATTGTTTTCTTCTTGACCTTTTTTCCATATTACATAGTGATGAAATAAATATTAATGTCTTCATGTACTGCATATTGTAAATAATTATATATTTACCCATATGAAATTTGTTTTAGTGCACGTGTGAGTTGGGAGGCTGTTTTCTTTTCACTCCTACTTCATCTGCATCTTGTCTCTCCTTCACCTAACAGCTCTTGTCCTAAGTAGGGAGGGCACGTTTCATTCTAGTGGATGGAGCCAATTCGATGACATTACAAATCACTTTGAACATGACATGGCTTCAATATACAGAACAAGTGCCGACAAAAGTACAAAAGTTGCAATAAGCAAGTTATATCTCAAGGGTAAGGATGTAATTACACACAAAAACAAACCAACCAACCTAGCGATAAATCTAACAAAAACGAAGTTTATATATGAGAGAAAGCATAAAAAATTCCCTTTTGTTCTCTTGAGCCCTGACCCTATTGAGTTCAGGGTCTCTGCATTCTGCCGGAGAAATACACGGTTATTTAAAATTTTAGGTTTTTCGAAACAACGTGGAGGCATTTATTCATCCATTCTTTAGAGTTTCAGCACTAGAATGAGCAGTCATATAACAGAAGCTGTGAATAACAGATCAGCCAGTATCATCTTTAGAATTTACACAGGATACAGAAAAGGAACTAGTAACTTGCATATTTCAAATAAATTATTAAAGGTATAAGTGATGCTATTAAAATGTGAAAAACTAGTTTTACTATTCACTTTTATTGTTCGCATGAAGATCAGACATCTTTATCACTACTCTGAAAATATTTCATAATTAATATTTCACTTTTACAGCAAAGGAAATATCTCCAAAAAGTACACTTTTTACAAGTCTCTTTATCTGCATTTGACACAAAGCAGTCAGTAACAGAAAACAAAAAGGTTAAAATATATAATTTTCAAGTTAAAAATAATTTTCCAAATAACTGAGAATAAAGTCTTTAAAACTAATATTGAAATTCTATTAATGACATCAGCAAATTACAGAATACCATCCAGTATGTCTCAAATATATTTGGATTTATAATTTATCTCAGAAAGTGCGGTATAGAATGACAAATAAAAATTAATTTATATGTACACAAGCAGAAATTTCTCTTCTTTTAAGGCAGTCTCTGCCCTCTACCCTCACAGACCAGGGCCGGCCCCAGAACGTTCTGGAACCCAGGACAGTGTGGCATCTCTGCGTTCAAAGTGAATGGGGAACAGAAGTCAAAAATTATGTTCTGGTGTGTAGTTAGTATAAAGTTGCAGACTCCGCACAAGCAGTTTACATTTCGCATTCCGATTTCCATAGACAACTTCGACTCTTGCTTGATTAAATGAGAAGCTGTAACTGGGGCCTCAGATGCTCTGAGATCAACCACCGCCCCCCACGACCACCGCCGACAAGGACCCGGTCCCCTATCCCCAGGTCCCAGCACTCTTCCCTTTTTGTTCCCAGGACACGCGCCCCTATCCGATCGCCCAAAAAGTTTTCACCTAAACCATTTTCACCTCGTTAGGAGGAAATATTTGCGTTTGCAATATAAGCGCCCTAGCCCCTAAAGTGGAGACCAGTTCGGTGGGCAGGAGGACAGACGGAAAAGCGGCCCAGGAGGCGGGCCGAGGCTCAGAGCCCGGGCGTCCAGGCCCCACCCCT